ATTCCTAGTTATTCTCAAGGTTTTGACACTCGTATCATTTTTTCTATGGGGGATCTAGCATATCCCTCGCAAGACGCCAACTATTCTTCATGTGCTTTGGTCTTCTCCTTGGTTTCCTTGGATTAAACTTAATACAGGTTTCGACTTTTACGTTTGGTTTTAGAGGGGTTAGGTTTTATGTCCCCCCCTCTTTTTCTCATATCTTTATTGTTTGCGTTTCTAGAAGGGTGAGGTTTATGCCCCCCCCCCCTTTCTTTTACATATACTTTGTATCCATTTTTCTTGTATTATGAGGGGTTAGGTGTCACGTCCCGATCCCAACATACGTTCAGGATCGACACGTGACGTCACCAATTACATGTATATCTAACATAAAACACCTTCAGGATATGAGCAAAGCACAACTCACGATCCAACTGTGTAGTAATTTTTTGTACACTTTATGGCTGCATCTAACCTCCTCGTTAGACTACCTACGTAACCTTCTCGTTATTCTCAAGGTTTTGACACTTGTATCATTCATAGTTCACCATTCATTACACTTCAACATTTATCACAGTATGTTCAAAACGAAAAAGCAAAGCATTCCTCAATCAATTATTAGAACTTAACAAGCATGAAATTACTAGGTTCAGGGCTACATAACAAACCCACATGATATTCAAGGTTTCCATTGCATCCATCATATAAATCACTATGTTTTCAACACGATACCTCCAACCACAGCATGTATCATATCAAATAACCAATGAAGCATAGTATTATTCTCAAGCCACATTAATCAACTAAGATAATCATAATAATAACAATCATATCCAACGTTATTCCACAATCCTATCAATTAATCCATTCATGAATCAAAGATGCATGATCTTAGCATTTAACTACATTTATCAACCAATGTGATAACATATCATTTCACAAATTTAATTAAAGAACTCTAAATAATTTCCTACTTGGATTATGAGTAACAACATGGTAAATCTAATTTTTTTTCACAATGTCTATTGTGAATAATTCTCATTCACTCGAAACTAGGGTTCTAGACTAACCTTTTGGAAATGTACAAGAGTAAGGATTACGAACCACTCAAAGGAATCCAACCACATCGGGTTCTGAACCACTCAACGGAACCAAAATATTAAGCGGTTTCTCGTAATCTACCCAGATCTGTCGCATGTAAAATCAATGCCTACATCATGGGAATGGTGCACTGGCAAACCAGAACTTGGATAAGTTGCGAAACTCGAGTGAGTGACAATAATACAAGTATGTGATAATCAATAAAAAGAAAGACCATCGATCACAGTTTACAAACCTCAAATATAAGTTCTTAATTATGAAAACATAGTCAAGTCTCTAAAAACTCTAAAAAAATCATCCAGACATCTAACGGCTTTTCCAACTCAAGCCCCAAAGATTCTCAAAAACTATAGTTCATAAATACACTAAAATCTAGGGCTAAATGGACGTAGTTCGGCCGAAGCCTACATAAGTAACCAAACAGGAAGTGGCCCTCTATAGCGGATTAACCAAGCAGACCCACCCCTGAGTAACCATGTAGGTAATGAACCCCCATCACAGATTAACCAAGCAGAGTCATTCCTCCGAATCTGCTAGGCAGTGATCACCCTTAAGTATGTATGGCCATAAGGATAGCCCATCACAGATTAACCAAGCACGATCCATAAATAATATAGTCCTCCACCACAGATTAATCGAGCAGGGTCAAGATAACCAAGTAGGTAGTGACCCCCCATCGCGGATTAACAAAGTATGATCACTCCTAAGTATACATGGCCATAAGGATCACCCATCGTAGATTAACCAAGCATGATCCATAAATGGTATGGTCCCCTATCGCAGATTAACCAAGCATGATCATCCATGTACCACTGCTACATGGTGCAGACTCAGTGTCACCTAACCGCGTGACACTAGGGTAACGATCATCTACTAGCCCTCAGTTTAACAAACATTTCAATAGGCACTTCAAATAACTTTTTCACAAATATTTCCAGTCCATGAATCAAATCACATTTAATAAAAATAGATCGATGGCCAATTCTAAAAATCACATTTATACAGAAAAACACTTTTATAAAACTAAGTCATATCCGCAAAGGATACTAATATAAGAAAAACAGGATAATAATCATCTCACATATATTAAAATCACTCACCGAGACAAGTCTGCAAAGCCCCACTGAGTCTCTAGTAATACTAATTTTAGTAATTCAATGGTTCAAGAACTATTGACCAAAAGTCAACTTTCAATCAACGATGGGGTCCACACCCTAGTAATTTAATCCGGAAGAACCGCACATTGTATTTCAGATCCGTAACTTCCTTGGGTCCACATTATGCTCCTATAATAACATACTAAAATCTCATCACGATCTGACGGTCGGATCTCTACCAATCTCAAATTCAAGTGGCGGTCAACAATTAGTTTTACAAACTTAAAAATCCACTTCGGGTGAGCTTCGATTCTCCTTCCTTGGTGCTCCAACGTCCCAAAAACTGGTTGGATCTTGTGCCTAAGTCCAAGGGGAGTTGATTAAGGATGGTGATGGGTGGTGAAACTCGCCGGATCGGAGGAATCAACGTCGAGTACCTCCGATGCTCCGGTGGGGTTATACATGGAAATGGACCTTAAACCTTCGAATTTGGGTGGAGATGGTAGATGGGAAGTTGTGGAAGAGGTTGTAGGTGATGGATGGTGATGATTCGACGGAAAAAATGGTGGAATCCGTCGGAATTAGGTCGGGTTGGTGCGCAGGTGTAAGGACCAACGGGAAGGTTGGGAGCTTCCCTTTTTTCTTTTTTTTTTTTTTTTTTTTTTTTTTTTTGCCCTTTCTTTCTCCCCTTCCTTGTAGCTAATTGGTCCCTTTCCCATTAACTGATTGGGCCGAAACCAAGCCCTTGATTGATTCTCATTCCCACCTAATGGGAGTTTAATTTATTTAAAAATTATAGTTTAGTAAAACGATTTTAAATGTTCGTACTTATACCGTTACAATCCGGACTCGGAAATGGTTTTCGTCTATTCACTCGTGATTTTGAGATCTATTTGAAAACATTAATTGTGACCTCAAAAGGTCAACGAATTTTAAAGATTAAATACAAAAATTCAAACCCGATAACTAAACAATTTAATTCCTAAAATTAACGGAATTAAAATTAACTAATAAAGATAACGTAAACGTGAAATACGAATTTAAATTACAAGATGCGTAAAGAATAGTGAAATTTCGGGAATGGGATTTCACATGAGGTTTATATCCCCCCTGACTAGGTATAACTTCTTTTTCGTTATCAATAAAAATTTCCATGTACCATCTATTTCCATAAAAAAAATTTAAAAGAACGTGGGATTGGGGAGAGAGAGAAAAAGGTTTTTTTTTTTTTTTTATAAAAATTTTGTAAACAAAATATAGCAAAATTTTGTTTTGTAAAATTATGTTACTATCCTTAACTTTTTTGTTGTGATAAAAGACTAAATAGTTTTTTCACCCTCTTTTGGTAACAAGGAAAGTTATATTAATATGTAGTTTAGCTATATTATTTACTACTTTAATGTGGTTGCTTTAATTTTTTTTTTTTTAACAAACGATATTATCTAAATTAAGGGAAAGAGGGTGGACTAGTCTTACAATGGACTAACAATAATAATGTGGTTCAAATTCACCTTTAACAAGAATCAAATCTAATACCTCTCACTTACAAATGAACAGAAATATCACTAGACCGTAGTACTAAATGATTTTTTAATTTACTATTTTATATATGGAGATGAATGAATATTAATACAAAAATTGTTTTTGCTGATCTATGCTTGGAAATGAAATGATCATAATGGATGTTGAAATATGAAAAAAAAAAAATAGTCAAAACTATGAAATTATATATTGACTCAAACTATATGTGATTAAAAAAAACAGATATTGACAATACTCAAAATATATGCGAATAAAAAAAACAGATATTGACACAAAATTACAAATAATTTGTACAATATCAAGGAACTTGTCAAAGCATTTTTCAATTAGTTATCAAATTTTAAGACATCGCTTATTTGCATGTAGTTTTAATATCCTAGTGAATAGGGTATTGAGTTTTCACTCATATATTCCAAGTTCGAATCCCCTCCCCCTCACACAAAAATTATTGTAATGGTTTCGAATCATTCCCCATCCCCTTAATAATAATAAGTTTATTAATAAAAAAAAAACAACAACAACAAAAGGAAATGGCTTATTGATTGGTAATAACATGTGATATCTGAATGTCACACTAAAAGTTGGTCACCACAGGAAACTCTATCCAAAGTTCAATTGATACTAAGTAGAGTTGTTTATTTTGGATGATTGTGCAGATTTAGTCTCTTAACTATCACCTCAGTAAAAATTAGGTCTCTAAATTATTTTTTCGGTAAAATAAGTTTCTAAATTCATTAAAAATTGCTAATTTCACCCCTACTATTATATTCAAAGCTATTTTATCCAATTTTTCGTCAACTTAAATCACTTGACATATTTTAGAGTGTAATACCGTCATTTTCTCGCCTATAACCCTTAACATTTCATATAGGCTGCGAATCTAACGTCTAATTTACACATACACTATTTCTTATGTAAAACTACCAATTTACCCTACAAAGTTAACTCTATACACTATTTCTTTATGAAAAACTAACAATCTACCCTCCAATATGTACCATAATCAAGTAATGTAACCTAAATTGATGGAAAATTGAATATAATAGCTTCGAATATAATATTATGGATGTAATTGGCAAATTTTTATAATTCAATAACTGATTTTTCTGAAGAAAAAAAAAATTAGGACCTAATTTTCACTAACGTAATAATTCATGGACTAAATTGACAGTTCATCCTTTTGCTTATATAGTTTAGGGTTTAAGTCTTTACAGAAAAAAAAAAAAAAAAAAAAAACAAATATAAGTAACCAAGTAGAAAATGGTGATACAAATTCCAGTCAAATAAACTACACAAGAGAACTAAGTTTGCTTCGGAACCCACGTCACGGCGTCCGAAGGATTTCTCCTGGCTGTTGCGGAACTCTGTCTGAAGTTTGAGCCTCGGACCTGTTCTGTTCACCCATGCGTGGCTGAGCTCCTTCAGCTGTAATATGTATTTCTGGGTGGTCTGAAAGGCCTGAGGCAGGGCTTGGTGGGCAGGTGCTGTAACTGTCTGGTGAATCCTCGACAGCCGTAGCTCCAAAATTGTAGGTTTCTCTATCTCGGGAGCCACTACTCTTTCTAAAAGTATGGGAGCTAAGGTCTCTTTGATCAAAAGTTCTAAGCATAACCATAAATCTTCTCCACACAGAGTCACCTCTTGTCGCGATGAAGATATGCCAATGCCTATTAAAGAAAGAGACTGCAAATATGAGAAGAGCTAAAGATGCGGAGACCCCGACAATGAGGAAGAGGCTCCAAAAGCTATCAAATCCAAGACTGTTGGAATCGGAGATGGTGGGTGATGTATCTGAACATGTGCCTTCCGGCGCAAACCATTTGTTTTCAGCATCAGTTGTATCATTTCCCTCATTCACGACCAGGATCGCCCTTGAAACATCTGGCACAAGAGGTGAACCTTTCGGGAAGACCTATATAGGTGGGCACCCCAAAAAAAAAAAATAAATAAATAAAGGAAATCATATGAGGAACATTAGAATGATAAAACCATCTCGAACTTGCTCTTGTACAGCGTAGATTTGGTACCAAATCGCTAATAGAGGTGAGACTCAATGACGCTAAAATTGAATCCTACCGGTATTAGTAATGTGGTACACAATGTATAAGCAGGTGACACATTACTTCTGAGAGAAGTAAAGAGAGAGCTCTTACAAAGCCAAAGCCATCGGTTCTGAAAATTGGGCCAATCATGGTGTATTTCTTGCAATATTTTGCAAGAAACAGCCTAATGTTGGGGGTTTCGTCGATAGCAGCAGCAATACCGCCTTTGGCACTCCCATTTGTCAACAATACGTCACATTCTTCCCTAGACGTATAAGGCCGTAACTTGGAGGGATCAACACCACGGCCTATCAGAAGGTCGCGGACGAAAGAACCCTCTTTGTACCCAATATACTCCCTATTGTTTATAAGATCGAGTATATTCGTAAAAGTTGGCTGAAGTTCTTGAGATGTTAACAATGAAGTTAGACTCGCAGTGTAACTTTGCGTTAGTATCAGCACTACAAACATCCAAACAATCTCCACAGACCTTGCCAAGTTGCCAATCACCCTCTCTCCTGTAAATTGATGAAGTAGAACATGATGATACAACAATTAATTGTTGAATTTTAAGTATAACTATGAAATCTTTCACGGTTGTACTAGCTAGTACTTACGCTGTGCAAAAACCATGGTCGAAAAGGAGAACCAAAAGACTGTGCCAACTTGATGAGCAGGAGGACCGCGAAATTCATCATTGATACGGTGTTCAAGAACCCAAACCACTGAACCAACGAAGACGAAAAAGAAAGCACTTGTCAACCAAAGATTCAGTGTCAAAGGCTTTAAGAAAATCCATGCACTTTTGCTCTTTCTATCTTTCATTGGCACTACCATCACTACCCCTGATTCTGTGTATGGCAAGGTAAAGTCCACATACAAGGACCTGTTTGCTCTAATTGTTGCGTCTGCTGCCACTGCATCGAAATTCTGTCACAGATTATTAGTATTACAACTAATGATAAAATTGTTAAACAAAGTGAAATCTAAACTAGTTTCTAGTACTACATACCCCGAGAAATACTTGATGCACCAAATCATCGTAAGTGCCAGCACTTGTACCATCTGGCTTGGCGAAGGGAAAGAAATCATAGGCAACATTGTACTTTAATTGGCCCATTGCAGCGTTGAAGATGTCAATGACGTAGCCAGTAACATGAGTTGTATTAGTGCTAGAGTCATATACTACTTTCACAAATTGAGGATAGCCATTCTCCACAGGAACTCCTACTCTCAATCTTTTGCCGTCTGTCGGGATCTCCCATCCCTTAGGAACTGAGGTAGAATCTCCGGGCCATATAATAGGTCCAACATTGGATTTAGAAGTTGAATAAGGATCACTTGTGTTTTTCGAGTTCAATTTTTTCACAAGTCCACTCCGTGGTGTCCAAAACCCAATTCTTTTTGTTGCATCACCGAACACATTTACCATTTCAAAGACGGATGTTTGTAATTGCCCATCAACAAAACTGAAATCCCCACCAAAGCCTCTAAATTTAGTACCTGATAAGGATTTGCAAAGCCCTGGACCATTTTGGGAGATCCCAATTGTTTCAAGATCATTTGATGAGTTGGTGGAAGCATTAGCCTTTTCATAGCCAAAGTTTTTAGTCCCAACATTTTCAACTGCCATGGCTAATGCAAAAGCAGCATCATAAGCCCAGAGTGCAGGAACGTCTAATTCAGCGTCGATAATTGTTGGATTCTTCTTTTGGAATTGCCTTTTCCATCGATTTCTAAAATCGACATATTCTTCTGTTCTGGGCACATAAGTCCTCACACCCAGTGCACCTTGCATTGAATTGATGACTGAAGCATTTGTTGTACTCAAAAGGTTGGTTAACCCATTGGTCATTATCCAAACATACCCTTCATCCATCATTCCCTTCTCTCGTGCCTTGGCAAAAAGGCGAGAGCCAAGAGAGGGCAACATGTGCACAATGAAGACTCTAGTCTGCATAGTCATTAGCTTGGAGAGCTCTGCATCAAGCTGGTCCTCAGTGGCTTCTGGATGTATAACACTTCGATATGGGACATGAGCTTCAACTTCTTGCAAGGCATCTACCAAGTAAGGTATTATTCCCTCACCATAATCGTTGTCTACATAGATGGGCACAGCTTCTCTCCATCCAAAGGCTTGGATGATAGCACTTATGGCTTTCACCTGAGAGGAGTCATTTTGTGCGGCTCGGTAAAAGTATGGACTTCGAATAGAAGTGAGGGAAGGATTTGTTGCTGAAAATGAGATGATGGGCACCTGGGCTTTGTTCCCCAGATCAATTACAAATTTGGCTTGCATCGATGACTTTGGGCCGAGGATTGCTTGCACTTGAGTATTCTTTATCAGGTCTAAAGCTGTTAGATCAACAGAAGGCACAAGAAGTTAGCTACAATGCTTCTTTTACTTAAAATAGAATCATATTGTTGCAAACTGAAATAAAACACGGTCGACGGAGAGAGAGAGAGAGAGAGAGAGAGAGAGAGAGAGAGAGACCTGCAGCAGCTGCATCGACAGTGTCTTCTTTGGAGTCCCTAACGTTTAAAACCACCCTGGTGGAAGAGGAAGCGTGAGAGCCGGTATAGAAATCTGAGAGGGCCATGTTAATGCAGCTCAACCAAACTTTTGCACTGAGTGAATCAAGGTCATCAAGAATCACACCAACTTCCACTGCGATTGTTATGTTCGGAGACTTCTGTCCCATAGCAAATGAATTAATGCTTAAAGAAACAAGCAAGACGAAAGAACAGACTAAGTCGGTCAGTTTCCTCTTCGTCATGGTCGTATCTGCTTCTGGATGGAAAGGTAGTCATCCAAAGATACTTGGATCGGTATTTCTGATTCTAATGTAGTTATAGCATACAGAAAACTCGGGGTGTAAGATACGTGGTTAATTACATAACAATTTCGTCGTAAATTACTAATACCTCTTGTTGGAGTAGCTCCAAGATAAATTTTGTCAAGAATTAATAGAAACAAATTAAGCCTGTGTACGTAAGTTTCATTTACCTGGACCAAATCGCCTTACAAGCTAAACATGATGGTGAAATGCGTAGTACAAGACAGAAGTACAATTAGAATAATGATATCCAACTGTTTTCTTACTCCCCAAAGAGCTTCTGGAAAGCAATGAAATATTAAAATTATATTAGCATAGTAATTGTGAAGGTTAAGCATCAATTGGTCGGCTTTTTTAATTTTTAACAAGATGATATTTTCAGGAAATTTACCAGTACTGTGGACCCCATCAAAATCTACATCGTAATAAACCTACATAAAATTACTATATTTGCCCTATTTTAACACAGAATATATACTGTTATTGTCAATCTCTGCATTTGGTTTTGGCCTCATGCAATAATATCTACTTGAAGCTTAAAATAAAACATAAAAACCCAGGCCAAAAGGTGTGCAAGTTTTCCATGATCATACAGAGAAGAGATGATCGATACTTCCGCGACGGTGAGGCCAATTTTAACACCTTAAGTCAAGGATGAAACTTAATTGTCATTAGTGGCTTTATTGAGGATTAGTCAGCCTTGATCAGGAGTTGCTGTTAGTTCTGGGTCCTGAAGGTCAGCCTCATCGGCAGCAATAACTGGAGATTCATGCGATCTGTGTCACGGCCGAGGAAACACTAGCTAGAAGAAACAAGGAAGAAAACATAATGAGAGAGGCTGGTTCTTTTCTTCAACTCCATGCAAAGGTAATGAGTATAGAGCCTGAAAGTATTGTGCCAACTTGATCCGAGGGACTGGAGGGCCACGAAAATTTACAGTACACAATGTCGAAACCAGTCCAGATGAAAAAGCAAAGACTTATCAGCCAGAGATCCCATGAAAGAGGCTTCAAGAAGATCCATGTATTTTTTATCATGTTATTTATTGCGAAGAAATTTATATGTAATTTTGGGATGAAAATTCACGATTACTTAACCATTCGAAGCAATTTCTTTGCACTCTCTCCATCTGCAGAACGTGTTGGAGTAGCACACAGATAATACATTTAATTGTTAGTTAATAAGGAACTAAAAGCCTCTGCAGGTTCTTTGCACTCTCATCAAAGTAATACCTTTTTTTTTTTTTTGAAAAAAAACGATATTATCTACTCTAAGGAGAGGGGGTGGGTTAACCTCATAATAGACTAACAATAATGTGGTTCAAATTCGTTTTTGGCAAGAATCGAATTTAAGACCTCTCACTTACAAGTGAAGAAAAACATTATTAGACCGTAGTACTAAGTAGCAGTACTACGTGTTTTTAAAACACACAAAAAAAGTACATTAATACTAATGTCAATTTTGTTTTGAATCTCCAACTGCTAAAATGTCACATAACAAAATTAGTCTACATGTTACACGCTTGATTCTACACAAGGTTTTAGGTTCGATTCTCGCTAGGACGAATTTAAACGACATGTTGTAGTGCTAGCTCGAAACATGCACCTTTTTTTTCTATGTGTAGCCTACTAAACTCTTTGGTTGAAGATGGTGTTTTACCGCAATGGCGGAAAGCAATAATGCACACCATAGTGCGGATTCAATCCTCACCAATCCCACTACCCTTAACATTTTTTTTTTATGGGACTACCCTGAACATTTGTTAAAATTCAGTAAACTAGGAGAATTTTTTAATTTTTTCTTAATTTTATTATTAAGAGGGGAAAAGATTCGAAACTATTACAACTATTACAATAATTTAGAGAGTAGGAATTTCAAATTTGGAATGCATGGGTAAAATCCCAACAGCATATCTACTAAGATATTAAGAACATGCAAGTTTGGAACTACTTTACTCGACTAGAATATCAAATTTTAATTACCACAGACAAATTATTAGATTATAATATTGATTTTCGAATTTTGTTTTCTTTAATTCCTTGTTCTTTTCTGCTTAATGTTGTGCATAATCGTTATATTAATTACAAAGCAGTTTCTAGATCTTTGTAGTTTATGTTCACGAAAAGCAAATCATAGAATTGCCTAAAAATGCAAGCACTTTACAAAGACACCGTAAAACTAATTGGAAACGTGAGAACAAATTGTGCTCATCCAATCTAACTTTGAACAAGGCAAGTACTGAAAGGGTTCAGGGTTAAGAGAAGATGAAGAACCAACAACGTTGTTTCAAAAATCACTACTACGACACGAAATAAACGAGATGCAATCGTTTTACTAATTAATCCATACATGTACAAGTTAACTACTTCATATCAAGAATATCTTCCGCCGAAAAACACCAGTAGACGAAGCAAAAGAAAAGAGCGATCGAGCATCACCTAATCCATGTAGAATTACTAATACAACCACACACTGTAAATGGAATAACGCGAATCCAATTGCAAATTACTCTTCCCTTGTTGCAGGATCCATCCCAGTTGAAGGGCTGTCCGCAAAATACTCTTGGTGCTTCACATTGACGCCATGCTGCTCAATGGAGAATAACAAGATGAGCACTTTAGGTAAACGAAAACTAACATAGAAGCAATAAGTGAAAACAAAATCAGTTTAAAAATCTATTTAGGGCCAGGCGATCTAGATTGAGCTATTCTAGAACTGAACACGAGACTTTACTAATATTGACGATTCTATGAATCCCACGCTTCTACAGAAAACGTACAAAATGCAGGAATAATATAGAGGAGAACAAAAAAAACCCATTTGTAAGTTCAAAAGGCTCTCCAGTTTTGAAAGAAATAGAGGAATACTGAGGTGCATGAAAAAGGTAGCCTATCAAGCTAAAGTAATTCAAAAGAGTGTAGTCATTACCTCACGCAATGCCCTTGACAGGTCTTCCATCGTCAATATTAGACGCTTATCCTGTTGCAACATTAAAGTTAAGATGGCATGTGATTAAAATTTAGATAAACATAAACACTCATCTCACCAGAACAATGATTGGAGTACCTTTTGTTGTTTGTCCCTTTTGTCTTTGACTACAGAAGCCTGTCTCGCTTTGCATTGCCTGTTTAGCGGCATAAGCATGTAAATATCTTCCCCAATTGTAATACCTTATACACTGGCTAACTACAAGTACAATAACCTACGAATATAACTAATTAATACTGGACCAACAGCCTACTATTGCAATTATACATTTCTTGTCCAATATTCGACAAATCATAAATGTGAGCTTGTGTCATGAGGCAAGAGGTGAATAACTTAGTGACTTACTGAAGAGCATCAGTTGCAACCTCAGAAACAAACTTTTGCGTGGCGACAGCTACCAGCCTGATTCTGCAAATGAAGTAAAGTACACACTTCAGCATACAAGTGCAAGCAAAGAAATACATCCAATTCAAATTGACGAAAAACAGAATAAAACTAGTGGCACTTTGCCATTGTCAGCTCAAATGGAATTTACACTGAATTTCCTCTACATTAATGGTTGCAACGGTGCAATCTAATCTATGTCAAAAAGTACAAACTTTCACCCATCAAACAGGTGACCAGTTAGCGCAAATTCGAAACCGCTAATTGGAACGAAGGCTAGGAAGCAAACGAACGAATGTATAACATAGATACGGTTCCCACACCCAAACGAAAAGAAGGAAACAGATCATAGACAACAGTGAGAGTCTCATACCAGTTACAGAGTCTACCTACAGCTTAATTCACATAGCGTGAGTATCTAATGAACTACAACTCTGAATTTTCGACCAGAAACATGCTTTACACTTAACAAAATCAAATCATACTTAACAAACTCAAATTATTAATCTCACAACCCTAACCGCAACTGAAATCTCAACTGAGCAAATTGCAAATCGTCCCAAAATTTGAAATTGGAACAAGTACCTACAATCGAACGTCGGGGCACTGGAAGCCGCTCTTGGCCAAGTAATGCTCCACGAGCTCGTCGGGTATCTGAAAGCAGAAAAAGTCAGGATTTCGATTTCGATTTGATCGGAATTTGAAGGAAAAAAATAAGATTGGAAAGTAGGGTTTTACGGTGGGGGTGTAGTCCATCAAGGAGGCGAGGAAGTCGGTGAGGGCGGCGTCATCGTCGTGCTTTCCGCCGTCGCTCGGTTGCTGGTTCTGGTTTTGAGTTGGGTTCTGGTTCATCTTCTTTCCCTCTCTCTCTCTCCAAAATACGATCTTTCGTGATGAGTCTTCGACTTTGATTTGCAGATTTATTGGCCTATTTTATAAACAAGTAATTTATTTAACCGGGTCGGGTTGTACCTATTTCCTCATCCAACTATCCGTTTTGGTTACTAGTGCAACTGACTGTGCAGAAGGGAAAGGGATTTCTTCGATCCCTTCTTCTTAATCCATCAAGTTTAAAGATTCGGCTAGTTAAAATTTAATCCAACGGTTACAAATAGGAATCCACTTTAAAAATTATAATAACTTTAACCGTTTGATCAAATTTTAATGGTCCGGATCGTCAAACTTGATGGATTAGGAGGAAGGAATCCAGAGATGATCCTTTTATGTGCATTAGTACCCAATAGGACTGTAGGATGTGTTCCAAACTTCCAACTAGCCGGTTTAAAAGTGCTTTTCCAAAACAGCCCTACTCCGAAAAAATAGTAGCAGCTGCAGCTGAATCCAATCACAAATGAACATATGTCCACCTGTGATTAATGGATGCTATTGTTTCAGCAATCTTTCTAAAGAGCGGTTTTACAAGACATATTTGTCACAACTTCTGAAAGCTAAAAGTGTTTTCTATCAACTAGGAGGCTTTTAACTACATTTGACAACTTATTGTTTGAGTTGTAAAATTGTAAAAAATAAAAATAAAAAAAAAACACCATCTAGCATCTTCAACTCCCAAGTGCTTTTTTAGGAAGCATTTAAACTTATAATGAGAATTCCAACGTGTCTATAACAAAAGCACTTGTAAGCAAATGCTGATTCCAGTCCCACGTAAAAAGTCTCAAACAAGAAGTGCATCAATCTTATGAATAAAAATCCAAGTGTGCTTGCAACTAATAAGCATTTGTTAATTATTATTAAACGACTTCCAAACAAAAACACAAGCTCTTATTTCACCCAAATAAGAGAAGCAACACAGATGACTATTTTAAGGTACTAATACCAATTCTATAAAAATCTGAGGATCGGACTTTGCTATTAATCTCAGGTTGCAAGGGACCAAGATACACACTGATAAATCAAGTGAATCAAAAGTAGCGGCCACCCTCTTCCAGCCAAACTTTTAACATGTTCAGCTGGGGAAGAAATTATTGAACAAGTAAATCTCTACTTTTCACACGTTATTAAAAAAAACCCCGATGTAATCTTCGTATCAAGATTCCGGTTAACAGAGAAAAACCAGGATCTTCACGAAGAAGACTTTGACACCTTTACATCACACTCTGCAGTCTGCATTGACGAACCAAACAAAAACGAAAGGGGCACTACGCGTCTACTTCTTCTGGGTATAACGCTGGATCCCTTGGACATCTACGATCTCAGGAGGGAAGACGGGATCAGTAGCTGCTCTAACGGCAACATTTGCCACGGAGGTGACATTCACTGGAGGAGTAAAGAGAGGCCCAACAAGCGGAAGCTGGCTCAGAGGTCTTGTATATTGAAATAGCTGCAGTCATATGTTTGAATATAAATCAGATGATATATCTTTTTCTCGAGTGGAGGACTAAATGCAGAATATATGAAGAACTACAACTTTACCATCTCAAGTGGATAACCAATTACACCGAGAGGTAACTTTACACTGCCAACACTTCGAGTCCCATAAATAAATCCAGGCCTCAAGATCACTCCTGAAGAGGGCATGTAAAGTGTTACACAATAAAAGTGTCCAATATTGTCAGAAACATAAGCCATATAACTAATGCTTCAGTCTCCTGTGCTTGGTCTCAAGAAACATGGTAACTTAATGTTTTATGAAGATATTGATTGAAATTAATGAGACAAGATGTAACCAATGGCTAAATAAAATTTCTCAGATCCTAGCCATCAATCGAAAAAATGATGATAGAGTAAGAAACCTCACCTCCGTAAGGAAATTTGGTTAGCAGCTCTGTCTCTGCAGCTCTCTAGATTGACAAGATACAGTAAAGGATTTTGTGTCAGATAAGATTAGACATGTTAAGCATTACAAGCAGACTAATTATGCTAATTCTTCCAGCAGCCCCTAAAAACTAGCGACCAACATACAAGTAAACTTAAACAAAGCATGGTACCTTTCCCTCATAATATCCCCGCAATAAGTAATTTGCCACACCAAAATCAGCAGCAGAGATATAAACAAATCTTTTCACACCTGCGGATCAACACCAATTGTCTAACAAGTAAGCCAAAGAAGTAGCCCGATACAAAAAAAATAAAACATATATATGTATATATACCTTGTTCAGCGGCAGCTCTAATTGCATTGATGTTAGCAGTCCCATTAATCTTATACATGTAGGAATTGGAGCCAAACCCACCAACACAGGATATCTAGGACAAGAAACCATATTAGGAAAAGGAACCAAACATCTGATCCATTAATGAAAGCTAAGCATGAAGAACAAAGGGGTAGACAGTTTCCATTCTATACAATAAACACATTCTGAACCAAAATTTGAAGAAGGGGGGAGGGGAAGGACAATATATCACATGGTTAGAGAATATGTCAGTGTGTGCATGTGTCTTTACTACGTATTGGCGGATGGGAATAAGGTTAAACAGAGCATTATGGGACTTCATACCACAGACGTGACACCATCGAGGGCATCCTTCCATGACTCAGGCGATAGAAGGTTTCCTGAAAATGGAAATACTTTTAAAAGGTGTTTCTACATTAAAAAAGAAATTATGGGTCATCAATCAAATATTATTGCAAGAAAGTAAACCTTGATGCCAGGTCATACTGTCGGCCCATGAATCATGTAATTTTGACCTACCAGACCTGAGGAAAAAAAAATAAGATAGCACTAAAAGTGAGGTTCCAATATCGAATCAAAAAACAAAAAAAAATCAAATAAAAGGTGATACAATCATAGAGGTATAAAGATTTCTTTGAGTTGGAAAAGAATTAGGTAAAATGATCTTTGAGTTGGAAACAATTACTTCACAGTCGGATAGTATTGCGTTCTTATATATCATACAAGCATTGAGATGGGCACAGGCCTAAACTGAGCAACACTAATGAACAATTCATTGCCATCAACTTAACACCAGCACGCAGATACCAACCATCAAATACATAAAGACGAGTTATACCTGCTAAGGCTAGCGACAGACAAGCCCCGCTCCAATGCTTCTCTACAAACATGTGAGCCAACAAATCCATTTCCACCCAAGACAAGCAACTGTATTAAGAAGCTTAGAAGTCAACAAACATAACACTATAGCATAGAGATAAAAAATAAAAATAAAACAACAAAACCTTTTCCCACTAAATGGGGTCAGCTGACACTATAGCATAGAGATGAAGACAATAAAATTATATCACGAAAAAACAGTTTCCAATTTTCAATGCTTTTCGAAACAAGATAGTACCTTCTCAGTTGGCGGAGGGGGAGTGTTTACAGTCTCTGCTTCCACAACTTTGAAGGGTTCATCAACCTTATCAGAGTCTGTTGTCAGATACCTACCATTCCTCGGTGCATCCGATACACTGAATTTACAAAATCAGGAAGTAAGGAAAACCCAATTCTCCTCTTAACTATCTTTATTTAATTCATTTTCCAACCACAAATTCAACAATGTAGAACAACCCATAGCAGTACAAATAATCCGAAAACCGAATAATATCCATGAACCCAGATGATTAAATTTCGTATAGAACCCCAGAAGTAGAAAACGAAACCTAATAGTCTAAGATCCCAATTAGTAAATTTAAGGTTTTTGCATTAGTTTCCCAATTCCCACGCTTTCTCGACAGCCAAACACTCACTGCATAATAATTCGATAAACAACAGCACCAATAGATTCAATACCAAAAAAGAACCACAAACACATTCAAAACCATAAATTAGCAATGCACTGAGTGCAGCTATACAAATTGAGTATTAATTCCAATTTATATATATAAATAATTGAAATAAAAAACTTACAAGAGCCTGGGAAGTGATGATCTTGTATGGATCAACCGCGAGACGACCGTCCTCATTTTTTCGAATTCGCGGTTACACACAGTCCCCTTTTTTCTAGGGTTTCTTAAATTTTGGTTCTTCAATTTGCTTTCTCGGAGAATGCCCGGAGCGCAAGTAACCGGAAAGTCTGTAGCTTCTTGTTTTACAGACAAGAAGGAACAGATGGCGCGTAACTGTGGAGACAAGTGGTTCGTGCAAGGCCTTAGGGAAAACGCAACGTGTACACACTCACACCGCAAGTTTTGTGTTTCACGTGGCGCGAATATGGTGTTTTCTTTTTTTTTTTTAATTCAAAGTTTTTTTTTTTTTTCTCTATTGCCGTTATGTCATTTTATTTGCAAATTTTATTAACAAAACTATTTTCTTTAACATTACCTTTCAATTAATCTATTTCGATTTATTTACTAGGATTGAGGAGTGTAAGAGAACGGATGTACTGCTCATAACTAACTGATCTGACCTAAATTCGACTTCTAGTACCACAACTCGCAATTGTACAATCTCACAAACAAAGCACCTTAGTGACTTAGTCCCCCAATAGTTTCACATTGATACCTTTAATTTTACAGAACTTTAATGAAAAGCTTCCGGTACTATTCACTTTAACGAAAAATCATATTTTTACACTAAAAATTTAATCTTGGTACTATTTATTTTATACTTTATTTTATCTTTATCGTTAAAACTCAAAATTTTCAAATCATTTTCATTAATTTTCTTCTAATTTTAATCAACCACTGTCTGCAAAGATGGGCTACTTTTCAAGATGGATCTACCGAAGTTCTTCTGACCCAAGACCTTCTTGGTTAGTAAACTGGCCCAATTTATGGATTCTCATTTTCTGGCCTTGAAAACCTTGTTGCTTAGTCTACACTGGCCTGGATTTTGAGCCAAGCTGAGACGGGCTGAAATTTTGAGCCCAATATCGTGTTGAGAGGAGTGTGGAGCTTTAAGACTGAGGAGTTCCTCCTCAATTTACTGTGTGTTCGATTCGTAAAACTTCACGTTTATAGTTGGAACCGTTTATATTATATACACTTTGTAATAAATCATCTCTATAAAACTTCAAT